GCGGTTTGGCACCTGCCTTTGGCCCAGGGTGCGATCCTGGAGACCCAGGACCGAATCCCACATCGGGCTCCCGGTGCCTGAGGCCTGCTTCTCCCTCTGCCTGTGTCTCTGCCTCTCTCTCTCTGTGTGTGTGTGTGTGACTATCATAAATAAATAAAAATTAAAAAAAAAAAAAAGAGTTGAATGCTCACTTGACTGAGCCACCCAGGCACCCTGATTTTTGGCTATTCTTTTTGGCATTTCCTTTTGTGAAATGTCTGTTCAAAACATTTGCCCATTTTCATTGGATTGTTTTTTTAATTATTTTTTGTTTGTTTTTTTGTTTTAATTATTAAGTTATAAAGTGAGTTGTTTACATATCTTAGATATAAATCTTTCATTGGACATATGTATTGTGATTATTTTTCCAGTCTATGCTTGCCTTTTAATTTTTCTAATAATGCCTTTCAAAGAGTAAGCATAGTAAATTTTGATGAAGTCTTATTTATCAAATTTTTCTTTTATGACTAGTGTTTTTGTGTCCTGTCTAGGAAATCTCTGCCTAATCCAAGGTTCTCTTTTGTGCTTCTTCTAGGAAAATTATAGTTTTAATTTTTAAGCCTTGGACTATGACCCATTCGAAGTTAATTTTTATATATAGTACAAGCTAAGAATTGAGGATCAAATATTTTCTACAGGGATATCCTGTTATTCCACCACCATTTGTTAAAAAGAATTTCCTTTTCTCTTTGAATTCCCTTAGCAATTTTATTGAAGTAAGTTAATCATGTATGTATTTTTTTCTGGACACTATTTTGTTCCTTTGATCTAAAAGTCTATTTTTATGCCAGTATCACACTGTCTTGATTATTGTTGTTTTACAGTAAGTAATGAAATCTGGGACTATAAATCCTCCTTTGTTCTTCTATTTCAAAAAGTTTTTTTGTCGGGCAGCCCGGGTGGCTCAGCGGTTTAGCGCCACCTTCAGCCCCGGGCGTGATCTTGGAGACTTGGGATCGAGTCCCATGTCAGGCTCCTTGTATGGAGCCTGCTTCTTCCTCTGCCTGTGTCTCTGCCTCTCTGCCTCTCTCTCTGTGCCTCTCATAAATAAATAAATAAAATGTTAAAAAAAAAGATTTTGTCTATTCTAGGTTTTTTATATAAAAGTATTAATTGTTGGGGCACCCGGGGTGGCTCAATGGTTGACTGTCTGCCTTTGGCTCAAATCGTGATCCCAGGGTCCTTGGATGGAGTCCTGCATTAGGTTCCCTGCAAAGAGCCTACTTCTCCCTCTGCCTATGTCTTCATCTCTCTGTGTGTCTCTCAAGAATAAATACTTCAAAAAAAATGTATTGTCAATCTCTACAAAAATGTTAGAATTTTTACTGAGATTGCTGTAAATTACTTTGAGAAGAATCAACCTTCAACAGTATTGGGTCTTACAGTCCATCAATATGGTATATTTCTCCACTTGATTAGACCTCTTAAATTTTCTCAGTGATGTTTTGTAGCTGTCGCTATATGTCACACACATATTTTGGTTTCATTTGTTTGTTTATACTCATAGTTTGTTAAATGTATCCATAAATGTTTCTTGGTTTTGACGCTTTTATAAATGGTGCTTTTTTATTTTCCAATTGTTCATAGTTAGTGTATAGAAATGCAATTGATTTTTGCATATAGACTTTGTATCCAGCAACCTTGCTTAATTTACGTTAGTTCCAGTAGAATTTTAAGATTTTATTTACTTATTTGAGAGAGAGATAGAAGAGGGAGGGGGCCCTCTAGGGGTAGGGGCAGAGGGGGGAGGAAGAGGGAGAGGATCTCAGGCAGACTCTGAGCTGAGCACATAGTCTGACTCTGGGCTTGATCTCATGACCCTGAGATGATGACCTGAACCCAAGAGTTGGATGCTTAACTGACTGAGCCACCCAAACGTCTCTAGAATTATTCTAATAAAATGCACAAATCTTTTTTTTTCACAAATCTTTTTAAAGATTTTATTTATTTATTTGACAGAGAGAGAGAGCACAAGCAGGAGGAGCTGCAGGCAGAGGAAAAGGAAGAAGCAGGGTCCCCACTGAGCAGGGAGCCCAAGGTAGGGCTCAATCCCAGGACCTGGGATCATGATCTGAGCTGAAGCCAGACTCAACCGACTGAGCCACCCAGGCCCAGGTGCCCCTAGAATTTTTTTATATATCCCTCAGAATCTTCTTTTTTTCCAGATTTATTGAGACATAATTGACATATATTATATAAATGTACAGTGTAATAATTTAATATACATATATATTGCAAAACAATTACCACAATAAGGTTAGTTAGTTAACATAGTCATCACCTTGCATAGTTACCATTTGTGTGTGTTGAGAATTTTGTTTTCATCTTTATTGAGGCATAATTGACATATAGCATTGTATAAGTTTAAGGTGTACAGTATAATGATTTGACTTAGATATTATAAAATAATTACAACAGATTTAGTTAATATCTATCATTTCATATACAAAAAAATGGTTTTTATCTTGTAAGAACTCCTAAGATTTACTCTTTTAACAACTTCCAAATATACCATATCAAATACACCACATTAGCTATAGTCATCATGTTGTACATTACATCTCCAGTACTTATTTATAACTGGACGTTGGTACCTTTTAACCACCTTTATCCAATTCCCTACCTCCCCCACCCACCTCTGGTAACCACAAATCTTATCTCTCTTTCTAGGAGTTTTGTTTTATTCCACATAAAAGTGAAATGATACAGTATTTGTCTTTCTCTGTGTGACTTCTTTCACTTAACATAATGCCCTCAAGGTCCATCCGTGTTGTCACAAATGGCAGTATTTCCTTCTTTTTTGTGACTGAATAAATTTCCATTGTATATTTATACCACAATTTCTTTGTTCACTCATCCTCCCACAGATATTTGGATTGTTTCCATGTCTTGGCTATCACACATAATGCTACTGTGAACATAAAGGTTCAGAGCTATCTTTGATGTAGTGTTTTTGTTTCTTTTGGTTATAGTCCCAGACATGGAATTGCTAGATCATATGGTAGTTCTATTTTTAATTTTTTGAGAAACTTCCATACTGTTTTCTATAGTGGCTGTACAAGACTATACAGGATATAAATACTAGTTCATTTAGAGCCTCCAAAGTAAGTTCGGGTACCCCCCCCCCCAAGTGTCCTATAATTATATATTTGTCATTACCTCTTACTGTATTATTTTTTTTAATTTTTATTTATTTATGATAGTCACACAGGGAGAGAGAGAGAGAGGCAGAGACATAGGCAGAGGGAGAAGCAGGCTCCATGCACCGGGAGCCTGACGTGGGATTCGATCCCGGGTCTCCAGGATCGCGCCCTGGGCCAAAGGCAGGCGCCAAACCGCTGCGCCACCCAGGGATCCCTGTATTAATTATTTAAAGCAAACTTTAAAATCTTATTTACAATAGTACCCAATATATGTGATTGGTCATAACCCCTATTATTACTAAATCTGGGTTATATTTTTTGCCCATCTTTACCACTTCTGTCAGGTACATTTGATGTAGGAAAGATGTTAAGGTCAGTTCAAAGCTGACCACCAAGAAAGAATTCTTGAGCCATCTTTGGTGCAAAAACGTGGTTTTATTAAAGCACAGCAACGGGACCTGTGGGCAGAAAAAGCTGCCCTGGGGTCATCAGGAGTGGCTCATTATATAGTTTCAAGTTGGGAGGGTATTAGGGATAGTGTTAAGTCTCTGAGGAATTTTGGAAGCAAGATTTCCAGGACCTCAAGAGAGCTAGCTATTGTTGGGATGAGGTTATTTATTACTGTCTAATAAAACTTTAGTCATGAGATCCTTTAGATGTATCTCCGTGGGCCATATGCTTGGGGGATGATCACTAACATACCTTAGAGGATAGAGATAAAGGAAGTTTCTAAAGGAACTTTTATGTTAAAGTAGACATACAGGATCCTGAGGGGCAAGATTGCCTTTTGCCCTTACCCAAGTCTTAACATTGAGGCAGCTGAGTTACTAGACGAATATCACTCTATTTAGGACTTGTCAATGGGCTGCAAGTCCTAAGGAAATTCTACTTTTCTTCTGCTGCTTTTGTTTCCCACATCGTATTCATAATCATACCCAAATAGCGACTGAAATAACTTCAGGCTATTGTATCTTTCCAAACTACCCATTATTCAAAAAGGACTCGGGGGTGGGGGGAGGGAAGCACCCTAATTTAAAAGGCTTTATAGGAGTTCAAATATAACCAACTCCCAGCTTTCCAAGCAGAACTTTTTTTTCGTCAAGAGAGAATTTCACCTCTTCTATCTTTGCAAAGGCTTTCAGTTTCAAGAAGCAAACAACAAAGCGACAGAAACCTGGAGTCTGGACAATAAAGATCTTTAATTATCTTACACAACAAAGTCTAGATACAGGTAGTACCAAGGCTGGTGCAATACCTGAAGGACATCAGCAAGTATTGATGTCTTTTGCATACACCATCTTCAACATGTTAGCTTTTCATCTTTAGATTTGTTCCCACCTGGTCACAAGATGATACTCACACAACCCCACTTAAGGAAGGGAAAGCTGAAAGGTGGGGTCCCCTCTTCAAGCTTTGTCGTCTTATCTGGGAGGAAAATATTTCCTATAAACTGCCTTCCCTCAATCTCTATCAGACGCCAGACTACCCTCACATTTCACTTAACTTACAATTACAATATTATCTAGCAGTAAGAATAGAACATCGCTAGACAGGAAAAATTCACGCCAAGCCCAGTCAAGCCCGTCCGGAACTTCTTCTTTAACTCAACAAGTCAGAGGAGAATCACGGATTTACAGAAGACAGCAAAATCCCCCAGGTTTTTGCAGTTACTACACGACGAACTTCCTAGCTCCAGAAAACACTGCGAGATCTTGTTAATAGGGCCCTTAGCGTCTTCTTACCCACTTCAAATATGGCCGCCAAGCTCCAGTCTCCTTGACCACCTGACCGCGGCAGCAGCTCTGGCTTCAGGCCCATTTCCAAAAGGGCCTCTTTCCGCGAGGTTAAAGTTATGAGTGCGCAGGCGCGAGCGCAAGCCCCCTTCACGGCAAGATGGCGCTGGGCTTGGTGTGCGGACGGCGGGAACTTCTGCGCCTGTTACAGCCACGGCGTCAGGTAAGGAACCCCCAGGGCTAAGCGCCAGGATGCGGCCCTATCCCCATGGCCCGAGCCCGAGACAGCCCGTGCCACGAACAGCATGAGCAGGCGCTGACCTGCTCACCGGGACCTGCCTCTCTTGACCTCGACTTGCCTGAGGACGCGGGAGGGTTCCGTGCCCGACCCTGAGCGTTCAGGGGTCGCGTGTTGCCGCCTGTTGGTGGGTCCCGTATCGCCCCTGCCACGGAAACTTGAGCCTCGACCTCCGTCCTCTGTGCCCCGGGGTGGGCCTGCGGTAACCGAGAGCCAAGACTCCCAATTGCGTGCCTCCGGGCCAGCCGTCTGCGCGCGGAGAGTAGAATCCCTTCACCTGTGCTAGCGGGCTGCGTGCTTGGTGGCGGCGAAAGAGCACGATGAGCGACGTCTGTCCCCGATGAAAGGCGCCATCCTTCTTTCATCCTCTCAGTTCCACAGCGTCGTAGGGCCCTTGCCCTGGCCGCGAAAACCGCCGACCGCGGGGCTCGTCTTGGCGGCGGGCCGGTGCTGCGATCGCCCGCACAATGTCCTCGCGGCTCCTGGCCTCCGGGGCCTCAGTACCTCTGTGATCTTGTTCGCAGAAGCCCAGGTAAGAGGCGAACCGCCCCTGCGACGTTAGGAATGGCGTTTGTTGATTTTATTTTCTGTTAACTATAACTAGGGGGAATGTGGCACAGGGTTCTTGGCCACACCTCATACGGCTCCCCGGAATGCTAGCACCTCTGGAAAATGATTGAAACTACAGCCGGAGAGATTTACGTTATATTCAAAGCATTGTTTGCCATCGTGTTGGAGAGGTGATTCCAGGTGTGCGTGTGTATTAGAAAAGTTGTAACTTGCATATCAGTGACTTCGTGAATATTAATATTTCTGATGGTGAGGCCAAGTAAATATTTGGGTTTTAAAAACTGAATTGTTTTAAATAGAAATTATGATAGTTTCAGTATCTGCAAAGTCGTGCCAGTGATACTCAAATGACTGAAGTTTGGAAAACGCGGATAGAAGAAATGACTATTAGGAACGGAAGTCATGAAATCTTACTCTAAGTAACATATTTTCCTGCCTAGAGGAAAAAATAAAATGTCCTTTTCAAGCTTTCAATTCTCTGTACACTGTAGGCTAACCTGGGAGAACAAGAAGTAGAAAGTCAGTAGAACAACCTGATACTAGTTATTATCTTAGGGGATGTGTGATTTCTCTGTGTCCCCCCAACTGAGTATTACACATGACTTCCTTTTGCACAGGTTCAGGCCCCTCCTGTCATTCCTGCAACTCCCTCACCCACCGCAGTAACAGAGGTGGCTTCTGGAGAGACCGCAGATGTAGTCCAAGCTGCTGCCGAACAGAGCTTCGCTGAACTGGGGCTGGGGTCATACACCCCAGTGGGACTGATTCAGAACTTACTGGAATTTATGCATGTTAATCTAGGCCTACCTTGGTGGGGGGCCATCGCTGCATGTAAGGGGAACACATCCTGATCAAGGGTAGAGGAAATGGAAAACTAGGGGTAGAACTTTAAAGCTAGCCGGTTCTGTAAGTGGATGGAGGGAATACAGTTGACTCTTGAACCACCTGGGGGTTAGGGGCACCAACACTGAAAATCCTTTATAACTTTTAACTCTTCAGTAACTTAATAGCCTACTGTTACAAGACTTATTATATACAGTCAATACATGTTTTGTATGTTACATGTATTCTATATGTTACAATAAAGCTAGAGAAAAGAAAATGTTAAAATTCTAAGAGAAAATACATGTACAGTACTGTAAAAGAAAAATCCCCATATAAGTGGGCCCCCACAGTTCAAACCCCTATATAGTTCAAGGGTCAACTGTAGTGTAGAAGTTTAGGGTCAGAAAAGCAGATGATGAGGCCCTCAGATGAGGGATAGAGGCTCTTGACACTTAGATATGCTCTACTTATGTTTCCTAAAGGTCATTATAAAACCACTGAATCATCGGGAACTCAACAAACATAGTTTTTTTTTTTTTTAATTTAAAGATTTTATTTATTCATGAGAGAAGGAGAGAGGCAGAGACATAGGCAGAGGGAGAAGCAGGCTCCACGCAGGGAGCCTGATGTGGGACTCGATCCTGGGACTCCAGGATCACGCCCTGAGCCAAAGGCAGAGCCAAAGGCAACCACTCAGCCACTGAGCCACCCAGGTGTCCCAAACATAGATATTGAATGTGAGTCTGGGGTTAGAGTAAGGAACCTTGTTAACAGTGATGAAGCTGGACAATAGAAGATTAGGCCAGGCGCTTAAACCCCTCAAATTGGAAGATGCCCACATTATAGTCTTGTGGGCTAAGACTATACTTTAAATTCTGTTTTTCCTACACCTTGCTCCAGCAATCATCCTTTCCCCTGTGTTCTGCTTCTCTGTTTTTACTGCCCTATTCTGAAAATATAAACCCGTCCAAGCATAACATGGATTTCTTAAGGAAAAGTCCCTTCTTTTCATCCTTAGTTCTTCTTTCATAGCTGTTATTTAAAAGACTATTCTGTGAGCAGCCCGGGTGGCTCAGCGGTTTAGCACCGCCTTCGGCCCAGAGCCTGATCCTGGAGACCCAGGATCGAGTCTCACATCAGGCTCACATCAGGCTCCCTGCAGGGAGCCTGCTTCTCCTCTGCCTGTGTTTCCCCCGTGTGTCTCATGAATGAATGAATAAATAAATAAATAAATAAATAAAATCTTTTAAAAATAATAAAATAAAAGACTTCTGCACACAGTAGACTTCTTTCCACTCTTTGACACTCAGCAATCTGACTTTAGTTTTTTTGGAAATCTCATACCACCTCATTTGGTTAGTGACATCATTGCTAAACTTATTTTCACATTTGACCTTTCTAAACTTTTTTTCCAGTTTATTTTATTGAAGTGTAGCCTATATTATGTTCCAGGTATATAGCATAGTGATTCAACATACATAGTAGGAAGTGATCACCATGTCACCATATAGAGTTGTTATAATATATTACCTATATTCTCTATGCTGTACATTGCATCCCTATGTTCTTCTTTATCTGTAACTGAAAGTTTGTACCCCCCCTTTTTTTTTTCCTTTTTTAAGTTTATTTATTTAAGCAATCCCAGGGTACCTGGCTGGTTCAGTTAATGGAGTGTGCAGCTCCTGATCTCAGGGTTGTGATCCCAGACCACACATGGGTGTATGGGACTTGAACTCATGACCCCAAGATCAAGAGCCACATGTTCCATCAATAGCCTAGCACCCCTGGAAGTTTGTACCTTTTAATTTCCTCCTGTTTTGCCCATCTTCTCCAACCCTCTCCCCTCTAGCAACCAGAATATTCTCTCTGTATCTATGAGTCTGTTTTGTTATTCTAGATTCTGCATATAAGTGAAACTATACGGTGTTTGTCTTTCTCTTTCTGACTTCTTTCACATAGCATAATACCCTAGAAGTCCATTCATGTCACAGATGGCAAGATCTCATTCTTTTTTATGGCTGCATAATATTCTGTTGTGTTGGTGTACACCACACCTTTATCCAGTCACCTATCACTGGACACTTAGGTTGCTTCCATATCTTCACTATTATAAATAATGCTTCAGTGAACTTAGGGGTGGATATATATATTTTTGGTTTGGGGGGGTTGGGCTTTTTTTAAGATTTATTTATTTTAGAGCATGTAAGAGAGCAAGCATGTGCATGAGTTTGGGAGGGGGCTGGGCAGAGGTAGAAACTCTTTCCAGACTCCCCACTGAGTGCAGGGCTGGATGTAGGGCTCTGTCTCATGACTCATGAGATTATGACTGGAGTCAAAATCAAGAGCTAGCCTCTCAGCAGACTGAGCCTCTCAGGTGCCCTAGTGCATATATATATTTGAAGTAGTGTTTTCATTTTCTTTGGGTAAATACCCGGCAGTGGAATGGTTGGATCATGGTACTTCAATTAATTTTTTAAGGAACTTCCATACTATATTCCATAGTGGCTACACTACTTTGCAATCCCATCAGCAGTGTACCAGAGTTCTCTCTTCTCCACATCCCTGTCAACATTTGTTATTTCTTGTCTTTTGAGTCTAGCCATTCTGATAAGTGTTGAGGTGATACCTCATTTTGGTTTTGACTTACATTTCCCTGATGGTTAGTAATGTTTAGCACCTTTTCATGTGTCTGTTGGCCATCCACTTGTGTTTGGAGAGATGTCTACTCAGGTCCTCTGCCCATTTTTTAATTGTACTATTTTTGGGATAATAACCCCTTATTGATTATCATTTGCATGTATCTTCTCCCATTCAGTACATTACCTTTTTGTTTGGTTGATGGTTTCCTCCACTGTGCAAAAAGCTTTTTGTTTTGGTATAGTTTCAGTAGTTTATTATGCTTTTGTTTCCCTTTCCTGGGGAGACATATCCACAAATATGTTGCTAAGGCTGATGTCCAAAAGTTTGCTACCTATATTTTCTTCTAGGAGTTTTATGGTTTCAGGTCTCACATTGAAATCTTTAATCCATTTTGGTTTTATTTTTGTATATGGTGTAAGAAAATGATGAAGTTTCATTCGTTTGCATGTGGCTGTCCACTTTTAACACCATTTATTCAAGAGTTTGGTTCATCTTTTCTCCATTGTACATTCTTGCCACCATTGTCGAAGATTATTTGACCATATAAGTATGGGTTTATTCTGGACTCTGTTCCATTCCATTGGCTTATATATCTATTTTGTACATTACTGCTTTATTGCTTTGTAATATATTTTGAAATCTGGGATTGTGATAACTTCAATTTTGTTCATAAAATTATTTTGGCTATTCAAGGTCTTGTGTGGTTCCATACAAATTTTAGGATTATTTGTTCCAGTTCTTTGAAGAATGCTATTGGTATTTTGATAGGGATTGCACTGAATGTATAGATTGCTTTGGGTAGAGTGAATGTGACATTTTTTAGCAATATTCTTCCAATCTATGAACATGGTATGTCTTTTCATTTATTTGTGTCATTTTCAGTTTATCAGTATTTTTAGTTTTCAGAATACAGGTCTTTCACTTGCTTAGTTATTTATCCCTAGATACTTATTCTTTTTGGTGCAATTGTAAATGGAGTTTCTGATACTTCATAATTAGTGCATAGAAACACAAGAGATTTCTGTATATTAATTTTGTATCTTGTAGCTTTACTCATTTATTACTTGTAATCATTTTTTTTAGTGGAGTCCTTAGGGCTTTCTATGTATATCTTTATGTATTTTGCAAGTAGTTCTACTTCTTTCTTACTGGTCTGAATGCATTTTATTTCTTTCTCTTGTTTGATTGCTGTGGTTTGGACTGCCAGTGCTGTGTTGAATAAAAGTGGCATGAGTAGACATGGCTTGTTACTGATCTCAGTATTTCACCATTGAATGTGATGTTAGCTGTGGGTTTTTCATATATGGTCTTTCTTATGGTAAGGTATATTCTCTCTAAATCCAGTTTGTTGAGAGTTTTTATCTTGAACAGATGTGGAATTTTGTCAAATGCTTTTTCTGCATCTATTAAGGTGATTAGGGGGCTCCTGGGTGGCTCAGTCTGTTAAGTATCTGCCTTTGGCATAGGTCAAAATCCCAGGGTCCTGGGATCGAGCCCCACATTGGGCTCTCTGCTCAGCGGGGAACCCGCTTCTCCCACTCCCTCTGCTTGTGCAAGCTCACTCTCACTTTCTCTCTCTCTGTCAAATATCTCTTTTTTAAAAAGATGATCATACGGGTTTTCTTCATACGGTTTTCTTTCAGTAGTAAATCACATTGGTTTGTGACTATTGAACCATCCTTGCATTACCAGAATAAATCTCACTTGATCAGGATGAATAATCTTTTAAATGTGTTTTTTTAAGATTATTTATTTGTTTATTATTTTTTTTATGATAGAGAGAGAGAGAAAGAGGCAGAGACACAAGGAAGAGGGAGAAGCAGGCTCCCTGCAAGGAGCCCGATGCAGGACTTGATATTGGGCCCCAGGATCACGCCCTGAGCTGAAGGCAGGCAGTCAACCGCTGAGCCACTCAGGCATCCCTTAATTCTTTAAATGTTTTGTAGAATTCACTTGTGAAGCTGTCTAGTCTTAGACTTCTGTTTGTTGGGAGTTTGATTGCCCATTCAATTTCATTCTAGTAGTTGGTCTATTAGTATTTTCTGTTTCTCCCAGATTCAGTTTTGGAAGATTGTATGTTACTAGGAATTTATCCACTTCTAGGTTGTCCCATTTGTTGGCATATAATTATTTATAGTAATGTCTTGTAATCCTTTGTGTTTCTGTAATGATTGTTACTTCTCTTTCATTTTCGATTTAATGTATCTGGAACCTCTTCTTGGTGAGTCTGGCTAAAGGCTTATTAATTTGGCTTATCTTTTCAAAGAACCAACTCTTGGTTTCATTGATTTTTTTTTTTTTTTTTAAGACTTATTCATGAGAAGGCTCCCTTCTCCACAGGGAGCCTGATGCAGGACCCTGGGATC